ATGACCATTGCCCTTGGAGAATGATTTCTAATTTTCTCTCTCACGGTCTCTCTCTGTCTCTCTCCAGTGACTGCACCAGCCCTATGGGGAAAAAAAATCACAATTGTAGTCCACTGTAAACCATTAAATGACATCCATTATCTGGGGAGCTTCCATACACTTAGATGGAGCCTTAGATTTCAAAGTTGGACCACAGTGTCATCATATCGCATCATTTTCCAATTCAGAATAGTTAAACTTCTCTTTCAGAATACAACTTGAGGAGTGAATAGCCCCCAAAGAGATGCCAGGGTTCCATATCCAACAAATGACCACATTGGCATAATAATCCAGGATCCCTAGCTAGATTCAGCTTATGAAAGGATACCCTTTTGTAGATTTCATAATAGCCTGATTTTCATCTTGTAAATGTATTTCATTGTTTAAGGTCTTCAATCATTCCCATTCACTGATGAAGTGAATCTACTGTTTGAGGCTCCATGCCACAGGTTAAAGTCAAAGAAATGAGTCATGTTGGATTTGGTCCCTAGAAGTGCTTGCCAGAAGTGTAGATGGGTTTATTACTAGCACTAAAAATGACTTTCATTCTTTACGCCCTCTAATAGTTTCCTAGGGCTGTCATAACAAAATACCACGAACCAAGTGACTTAAAACAACAGAACTTTATTCTATCACCGTCTGGAGACCAGAAGTCTGGAATCAAGGTGTTGGAAGGGCCACGCTCCGTCTGAAACTTGTGTGGGAGAATCCTTCCTTTCGTTTTTATAGCTTCTGGCGATGGCCAGCTGTCCTTAGCATTCCCTGGCTGGCAGCTACAGAACTCCAATCTCTGCCTCTGTCTTCAAAAGGTTGTCTTCTTATAAGGACACTAGTCACATCAGATTAGGAACCACACCACTCCAGTATGACCTCATCTTGATTTAACCAATTACAATCACGATGACCATATTTCCAAATATGGTCACATGCTGAGGTTCTGGTTGGGTTTTCAAAAATATTTGGGGGTGGGAAGGATAGAGTAGGACACAGTCACAATTCAACCCCATAACACCCCACCTTTCCTACCAATGCTTTCAAATGCCAACTGAATCTCTATGTTATATATAATACAAGCAAAGACAGAAGGAGTCCACAGGTTTAGAATATTTTTACTTTCTTCACTTAATCTCATTTGGTCTGCACAACAAAGCATATCAGCTAGGTATTTTTATCTCAGCTCTTTTTTTTTTTTTTTTTTTTTTAGAGAGAGATTTTTACTACAAGGTACATGCACTCACCAGGGCCACAGAGAGAAAGAAGTGAGAAATCACCCCCCTCTCCCATGGGGAGTGGTCATGCCACAGTCCCTTCTCCTCCATTCTCCTCTCAGGATTATGGGCACACACACACACACACACGTACCCAGCATGAGTTTTAAGTCCCCAGGTCCAGGACTCAAACCACGGATGGCTACATGGGAGTTCAATGACATAACCATTACACCATCTGCTGGTCCCCCTATCTCAGCATTTATAAGAGAGAAGACAAGTGTGGAGAAGTTAGATGACTTGCTTGGTAGCACACAACTGTTCAATGCCACAGCCAGAATTCTCAGGCCTCCTAGCCTCCAGATCTTGTTGTTCCTTCTGAAACATAGAGCCTGACACAAAGCTCTACCAGTCCATCGATAATCAAAATAGAAACTGAATATTTTCCAATTAAATAGGGTGTTGTTAATGAAGAGTAGCACAAGGGATCCTATCTGGACCACTTTTCCCCCTGCTGATTGAGAAGCGCTCCTCCCTGTGTCATTGCCACTGGCCACCTAAAACTCAGGCTACATTGACAATCACATATATGTATTTATATCAGGGCACAGGTAGTTCTCCAAGGAGAGAAAAACATTCCTTTCCACTATGTACTCCACAAGGAAGTGGAAAGGAATTTCACTTAAGATGATTTCAAAGCAGAAAGACAATAACATATTTACCCTTTGTCTCCCAATTCTTAGCCTCAAAGGGCTTATACCAGAAAAAATTTAATGTAAATGAAAACAACATACTGTTACGTAAGATGGTGGTTAGACCACAGGCTTGGGGATACACAGAGATCTGGGTTTAAATCCCACTTCTGCCACTGTCTAGTGGAGTGGTTTAAGACAGGGTACTTCATCTAAGTGTCAGTTTCATGGAGATAATAATATTTTTTCCCAGGACTGTTTTTACAAGTGGCTGAAACTATAAATGTAAATGTAATTAAATATTACTATAAACTCTAATGTGAAAACAAAAGAACTAATCATAGTACCTGGAACATAGCTACTGCTCAGTAACATCATCGGTTTTCGCTCATTGCTCCACACATGAAGTACACAGAAAATGCTACAGACTGTCCATTAAAAACCCTATTTGCTTCTATTTCTATTTCAATTCTTATTTAGTTTTTAGTATTTGGTATGAAGTTTTTCGTTTGATTAATTCTTCCATTTCTAGCCTAGCTTTCACTGAAATTCCAGGATTTTGTTTCATTTTTTTGTTTCTTTTTTTTTTTATTTTTCCAGTTTACTAAAGGGTATGTGCACTCACCAGAGAACAATAGAGAGAAAGTAAAAGAAAAAGCACCCCTCAGAGGGAATGGCCATGCCACAATCCTTTCTCCTCCATTCTCCTCTTGGGATTTTAGATATGTGCACACACGTGTTTGGCATGTTTTTCAAGCTGTCAGGTCTGGCACTTGGACCACACAGTCAGCCATGTTGGATCCAGTCACCTTAACCTCCACACCACTTGCTGGCCCCCTTCCAAATACTTCTATTTCACTGCATGAGTAGGTTTCAGATATCTGTCTTTGCTCACATTTGTTTGGCCCTACACTCTTTGCTATATTTTACTTGTTTCTAAGGCAAAAACAGATTACTTTCACTTACCTGAAGACAAAATACTTTATTTTGGATAAATCTATAAGAAAGGAGTCTGCAGTGACATGTTGGCCCTGTGAGATGGCCATGCCAACGTTCTAACAAGAGGAATGATTACTCGGCTCTCCAAAAACATTTTCATGATCTCTTCCCATACCAAGATATGTCAAACATTACCCCCCACAAAAAATAATGACTCTGACATTGGGAGGTCTAAATTTAACTTAGAACTACAAACCACTGAATTAACTATTGAACTTGCTATAAAGTCATTCCATTTGAGTTCAGAGGCAGTTATAAATTATCCAGAGAAAATATTGCATTTTCATGTAATCGTAGGAATCAATCAGATTAGCTGGGACCCTTTGCTTATTCTCACTTCAGAGCCAACACATCCTTCTATACCATTCTGGTTTTTTTTGTTTGTTTGTTTGTTTTTAGAGGTTTTTTGCTATAGGGCAAGTGCACTCGCCAGACAGAGACAGAGAGACGGAAAACGAGAAATCACCCCCCAGGGGGGGTGGCCATGCCGCAATCCCTTCTCCTCCATTCTCCTCTTGGGATCTTGGGCACACACATACATGTGCCCAGCATTGAGTTTAAGCCACCAGGTCCGGGACTTGAACAGCAGTCAACTACGTAGGAGTCCAGTGACATAGCCATTACGCTAACTGCTGATCCCCTAAAGGGAATCCCCCTACAAACACTAAATGATATAAATCTTGGTGTCTTGTCTTAGATTTCAATGACCACAAACTTCAGTACACCGTAACTAGAAAACTACTTTTGTTTCTTTGGGGTGGAGGATTAAAAGAGGGTTACATTGTTGTTCATTTATTTTCATTCAACACTTACTTTGTTCTCAGATGGTTAAGACAGTCCAGGTTTGCTCCACTAATGAAAAATTGTACCAAAAACAGTAGCAACAACGGCAACAAAAACCAGAATGGTACAAAGACAGAAATGAGCATCTGCAATATACGCATTTTTCATATACTAGCATTTTAATATATTGCGCATTGATCTTGCTTCTCCAGAGTATTTTTTACATAGTCAAAAAGATTATATTCCTGTCTTCTGATGTAGCATTACAACATGAGAATATCTCATAAATATTATCTTATTGATGGTTTTCCTTCATATAGATTTACCACCACCACATACTTAACCACTCTAACTAAACTTATAACACTTTTTTGAGTTAATTTATTTCTTCTGTGAGTGACAGAGAGAAAAAGGCAACCTCAACAGAGTCGTCACACTGTCTTCTACCTCTAGGCCCAGCCTACCCAGATCATGGGCTCACACGTGTACCTCTGGTATGTACAGGGCGGTCTCAGGATGTGAACTCAGGACCTCTCCATGTGATCCAGCATCGTGAGACATTACATTACCTCTATGCCAGCACTGACCCACATTTATTTTTAATTAATGATGGTCTCAGTCCATTCCTACTTCTATAACAAAATACCTTTGATTACATAATTCATAAACAACAGATAATCATTTCTCACAGTTCTGGAAGCTGAGAAGTCCAAGATGAAGGCACTAACAGATGTGGTGTCTAGTTAAAATTTTAAGTGTGGATACAGTGATTTAAATACTGCATATATGTTTATGATTGCCATTGTGTGAGGCTTCATGACCTGGTTATCTGTGTGCAATCTTATTTCTAATCATTCAACAACCTGAAAAGGTCATTATATTATAATTACCACTCTGTAAGACCAGAGGTCATAAAGAAAGTGATAGATACAGATTTTGATCAGATACACCTAGCTTCAAATTATGTTTTCCCCTGGCTATACCACACTACCCTCCCCTTCATTACTTTCATCACCACCACTAACTCCAAGCACTGTCTCCTCCCTCACCTCCATTTCCACCATCATATTGCCACCCTTTTCACTTTACTAAGCTAAGGCTTATATCATCTCTGTAGAGATCATGTCTTCATTGCCCACGTTTATGTTCTTTCCTACTTCACCCTAACTTCCACCAACCTGTATTTTCTTAAGTGCTTGGGAACAGAGATAAAGCAATGGCCACTCTACCACACTAATTTTATGAACAATCCCAAATATTCATTCTTTCTAATACTTACTGAGAGCATGTGATGTGGCAGGTACTATTCTGACTGTTGGGAGTACTGTCATTCCCTTTTGCAGGATTTTCTTCAACACCAAAAAGCCTTCCTTTTCAGATTTTCTTCACACACACCATTTGCCATGTTAAATCTACTTGCAAGTTGTCAAGCTGTGCTTCAGTTACCAGCTCACGCTGCCTGGCCTCCAAGCTGGATGAAAAGCAGAAGTGGGCTGTTCAAGAAGGATACACGAGTCAGAAGGAAAGTCTCAGGCAATAGTCATGAAGTAATTTCTTATCTCTTATTGCCACAGCAAACTACCGCAGGAAAGAACTTCCTATTTCCATGCGCTAGTGATGTGCATTTGCTTAATGTAGCTTGCCCCAAACAGTGCGTAAGTGGACTTGCTCCAGAAAAGACATTTGATATATAAAGAGAGGAAGACAAAAACATTAAAAAGGTAAAAATTAAAGAATGAGTACATCAGCGATACCCAGATTGAAGTGCTTTTCTTCTTCACTTGCTTGATGTGAGCAGAAAGACACCTGTGTTCTTTCTGTTTCTATTTTCTATGTAAAACAAATAACTGTACAGGAATCAGACTTTACATATTATCATGCAACGCCCAGGACAGTACTAGGAACACACAAGCCCCTAAAGACCAATAAAATTCTCTACTGTAGTCAAAGATGCCTCAGTGAGTTATCACTTTGACTCCTGTAATTAAATTCATTCACATATATATTCAAGCAAAGAAAACCAAGCACTCTAGATGCCCTTAGTACAAGTCTCTGAACCAACAACCACTAGCTCTTGTTCTCATAGCAGAGATATTTTCTTAAGCCTGTGACCTTTATCTACAAGCAAAACCCCCTCCAGCTGCCTAAATGCAAAAAGGGATTCTCCACAAAGAGCACACTTTCTCAAAAGAGAGTAGCTACAGAGTGTTTCCCCAAATGAACTCAGGGCTCAAACAAATGCTGAATTGTGCTTTTCTGAGTCAAACCCATAGTCTACCGTCCAAGCAGCTATTAATACAACATTCATTTAAGAAAAAGAGAAAAACACTAAAAAAAAAAAAAAAAAAAAAAAAAAAAAAAAAAAAAAAAAAAAAATCAAACCCATAGTCTACCGTCCAAGCAGCTATTAATACAACATTCATTTAAGAAAAAGAGAAAAACACTAAAAAAAAAAAAAAAAAAGAAAGAAAGAAAGAAAGAAAGAAAGAAAGAAAGAAAGAAAGAAAAGAGAAGAAAACAGAGCATGAGAGAGAAGCAGAAGAAGCCCCCAACTCCCTCCTTCCAAGTGTGGCAGAATTAAGGCGAGACTTTAGCACTGGACTGCACAGCAGCAGGTTTCCAGAGAGCTGAGTGAATCTCATGTCCCCAAAGCCACATTTCAGACCTCATTATTCTAAAGATAGTGCTAGGGTATCAATTGCTTTACCATCTTAATAGGCCAAGCAATTACTTCTCACACAAAAGCAAGGAACAATTTTACTTACATGCAATAAAAGGAGAGTAATTCCAAGAGCTGTCTTTCTACCTCTAAATTCAGAAAACTCATAATACTCCGAGGCAAAAGAAGAAGATTCCACTCCGAGCAGCCCAGCTCTGGAGGCTCAGTCTACACGAAACTCCCATTAGAAGCTGACCAGAGAACAAAGTTCTTTCGAAAGAAGAGGAAGTGTCATCTCTACTTCCTCAATTCTATTGTTCTTCCTTCTTGTTGTTATCAAGCCCTTCCTTGACTCCAATAACCAGGACACAATTCAGGTAAAGCAAGCACATCCCCTCTGTTCTATTTCATTATCACTGCCCATTGTACTGTATATCCATTTCCAGGACACACATATGAAACAGCACATGGCTTTACTTCCCTGTGGGCAGAGACATTCACTTAGAGGTATGGATGCTGAGCTCATTTGCAGAATCTTGCTCAGCATGTTTGATTGAGATGCCACTGTTTTTTTGTTTGTTTTGTAAATGCAGAGTTGTTCATTAAGGAGTTTTATATATAACAGTAAAAATGGGAAACAGCTTAAATATATTGGAGAATATTTTTAATGATCAATCTCTTACAGGCTCAGTCTTTTTTCAAATTGCCCTACTTTGTCCTCTCCTAGTCGTTCATAGAGGGTACAGCTAAATGTGTAAAATGCATTTTAGAATTAAAATAAGTCTTAGCAATATCGGATTTTCTTGAAAACATACAAATAGAACTCTCAGACAAACCAGTAATCCCACTCCTGGGTATGTAGCCAAAGGATAGGAAAACAGGCAGAAAGATACTTCTACATCCATGTTTATCGCAACACTATTCACAATTGCTAAGACATGGAATCTACCTAAATGCCCAAAAACAGTGACTGGATTTTTAAAAATGTGGCACAAACACACTATGGAATACTACTCAGTCATAAATAAAATTATAAATCCTGGCATTTGGTACAAAGTGTATGAATATAGAAGATTTATTGTTAAGCAAAGCAATCTAGACTATGAAAGACACATTTTGTATATCCTCACTCACAATCTACATAGTGTCTGTACTTTGTGGTAGAAACTAAAAGACTTTAAGATATAATAGCAGTGTAGACACCAGAGACTATATAGGAGTGGGTGGAAAGATGGGGGTGGGAGGGAGGGACTCAGGAAAAAAAAATTAACAGACACAAGAATTGAAAGTCATTGTGTATGGTAACATCTTTTACTTACTTTACATGCAGTAAATTTATGCTTCGAAAACCTGTATCATATGCTGAAAAGATGTACACTGATTAATTGTAAATTTTAAAAGAAAGAAAAAGTTTTTGCCTGCCATTGTTTTGCAAGACATGCAGCAGAGTCTCTAACTTCAAAACTTTTTTTCACACATTGAAAAAGGAAAATGACAGCTAGAAGTTAGACATATTTGAATGCAACTTGAACAAATTGCCTCCCTTCCACTTCTCCTTTCTAACACCAGCATCTTGTTTTTCTATAAATGATCAGGAAAAGAATACAATCTTACTTTATGTGTACTCTACTCTCAAAGAGAATGAAAAATATTAGAAATGGGCTCATGACTAGTACAATCTTCCAAATGTGGTAGCTATAGCATTAGCATGTGTTTAAGTTATCATTCATTGCTTAACAGGTTAACTCCCAAAACTTAGTGTTTTAAAACAACAAATACCTCATTATCTCATAGTGTCAGTGGTTCAGGAACTTGGGTCTAATGTAGCAGGTTCTCTAGGAAAAGATCTGTGAGACTGTGATCTAGGGACTAAGGTCATCTCAGGCTGCTGGGAAGAAGGAAATTCTCCCTGCCCACTCATGCAATTGCTCATAAGATTTAGTCTCTAAAACACCTTTGAACTGAGAGCCTCATTTCAATGCTACCTACTGACTGAGCCACTCTCAGTTTCTGACAACATGGACTTCTCCTTAAAGCAGCTCACGTCATAGTAGTTGGCTTCATCACAGCAAGAGAGAGAGTGAAAGAACATGAGTGTGAGAGCACGAGCAAACCAGAAGTCACCTTGGTAAGCTAATCTCAGAAATGATGTCCTTTCATTTTTGCCATACTCTATTGAGGAGTGGGATACTTGGTCCAGTCTACACTCAAGAGGAAGGGATTATGCAGGAATCAATTCTACAAGATGGAATCAAAGGACTCTGTCTTAGAAGGGTGCCTATTACAGTAGGTAGGCCCTTTTATTCAAAATCAAATTGCATCTGTCAAGCTGAATACTAACAATAGGGAAGACTTATTCTAAAGTAAAATCCTAAATATATTCACACTACTGAAAGAAAATCTGAAACTTTCTTCCAGGTGTTATAGTAGCCTGTGGTCCACCCTCACCGTTACCAAGATCAAGATCATGGTGCATAGACCTGCTAAACCAATGACTGCCAGCATCCATCTGTAAGAAACAGGTGAGTTAGCATACAAACAAAAACTACATTACACTGTATAACCAGCCTACAATCTGGTAAAGAACTGATGCAATTTAAATTTAAAAACCTTTCACTTATTCACAAGCATGAGAAGGCCTCCAAGAACCACAGCATTAACCTGTTCTCACTGGGTGTATATAGTAACTGTAAGAATTTACCCATTAGGATCAAAATTCTCTGACACCTCTCTATGCTCAGTGAACACACTCCATCTTACGAATAATCAGCAGAGCTTCATTTTCTATAGCTCCTGCCTAGTACAAAACCCCACATGGCACAAAATCACACTTCTTCCATCTTCCTTTATTAATATGACCTGCTCAGGCTAAGCCTACAGAACAAGAAGGAAAAGGCTATTTTGGGTAGAGAAATAAATAATTCAGTTGGCCTTAGATTTTCCTAATTTCAAGGTGTGTTGATAAAAGCTGACACCAAATAGAAACTGATATCACTTGCTTACAAAGGTTAAGGGAGACACTTTCAAAAGCAAAGTAGAAATCTTTTATATGCACATTTTCTGCTTTCTTAGAAATTCTTAAATTTACAGAGTAAACATGGTGAACATCCCAGTAACAGAAGCACTATTTGGTAAAAGGTATTCCTTTGGTAAAGGGTATGATAGTTTGAAAACTACTTCAATTTCTGGTCTTAGACTTCATTTCATTTTCTTTACATTAGTTTTTCAGAAAGACTGCTATACACTGAATGTTTATATCACCCCCAAATTCATGTGTTAAAACATAATCCCCACTATGATGCTAGTTGGAGGTGGGATAGTGGGTGAGTGCTTAGATTATAAGGGTGAGTCTTCATAAATGGTATTAGTGCCCTTATAAAAGAGACCCTGGAGAGTACCCTCATCCTGTGGGCCATATGAAGACAAAGCAAGAAGACAGCCATCTTTGAACCAGAAAATGGCCCTTACCAGACACCAAATCTGCCAGTGCCTTGATTTTGGCCTTCCCAGCCTCCAGAACTATAAGAAATAAATGCCTATTGCTTTTAAGCCCCATAGTCTATAGTATTTTGTTATAGCAATATGAAGAAACTAAGATAAAGATAAAACGTAAGTTAAATCTGTGAAGGAGTGAAAGGATAAAACAAGATTTTGACCATGGACAAAGTGAAAGTTCTCTCTGTGCCTTCTTGTTTATGCAAACTTCTATTTCTGGGCATTACTATCTCATCTTCTCTCTACATGGAGTTACCCTCTAGTTCTGTTTTATGTAGCAACAAAAGTACTAGATGATATCAAAGGCATTTAGTGACATCAATAGCAGGGCTTGGTTTCTCACAAGACTTTCAAATGTAATCATCAAAGACATCCTCAAAAGGCATGTTATTTACAATTATGGACCAGTGGTGGAGCCATACAAATTCTTTGAGCACAAATCACTGAATTATAGAATCAGGATCCTTTTCAAAGTGGCTGGACTTCTGGTTCAAGATGGTGATTGAGCACAAATTCTTTTTGTTTCCTCCCTCCCTCCCCCAAAGACTCTATGAAAATGACAGAAAACCTATAGCAAGATATAAATACACCAAAAAAAAATGGGAGGAAGAGCATCATAACTTGAGAGAACTGAACAATCTTCTGGAAAACTGAAAGCTGATTGAGAAGGATAAGAGATGAAGGAGGGCAGGGGCCACAACATTTCATCACTAAAGAGGACACTAGTATGGAGGGGACTGTACCACATTTGTGGTGCAGAATCCCTGAGAAGATCAAGACTCAAGAGGATCAAGAGAAGCTAAAACATCTAAAGAAGTGATGGGACTGAAAGTCTTAAGAAGCTAGCTGCCTCTCTTGCAATTATCTCTATCATCAGACCAACCTTTATGGAGCAAACACACAGAGTCCTGCCCAGCAGCCAGTTCCCCTTCACTCCAATACACCTGAAGATTTGTCTCCATGGACATAGAAATCATTCAGAGACTACATGCAGTGTACATGGATGTTGGCCTTCCAGGTTAAAGATACCCCATTGCATATTTAGAGCTTGTTGTGGTTTATGTCCCTCAAAAATTCATGGGCTGAAGTTTGGTTGTGTAGGTATTGAGAGGAAGCTTAATACCTTCATGGTGTCGAGAGGTGGGGCTTTTGGGAGTGAGAAGGTGATTAGGCTGGGCTCCTGTGATTGACTCCTGGTGGGTTTATGAGGAGAGAGGGACGCATACACACGAACACATAGTCACACACCCCTGTTCTCTCAGATGTGATGCCCTGTGTGGCTCTGGACCCTAACAAATGTGGCCTCTGGATCCAAGACCTCTAAATAATTTAAGAGAACAGCAGTTTATTTAGATCACATTGTGCTGGATTATAACATCATTTCCCATTTGGTTGCCATGAAATGTTGTAGAAAAGGGAAAATAATAATGGACTTCTTTCCAGTATCCTTAGAGAGATTCACAAAGATACTGTGTCTATAAAAGACCAGGGCACTAACTGGGGGTGATCCTCTGAGAAAAAAGAAAGAAAGAAAAGAAAGAAAGAAAGCAAGAAAGAAAGAAAGCAAGAAAGAAAGAAAGCAAGAAAGAAAGAAAGCAAGAAAGAAAGAAAGCAAGAAAGAAAGAAAGCAAGAAAGAAAGAAAGCAAGAAAGAAAGAAAGCAAGAAAGAAAGAAAGCAAGAAAGAAAGAAAGCAAGAAAGAAAGAAAGCAAGAAAGAAAGAAAGCAAGAAAGAAAGAAAGCAAGAA